CCACCACCATTTCAACCATTCCAACAGCAACCACCACCTTTTGTCCAGCCCAAGCGACCGCCACCACCTCTACCAGATTTCACGGCTCCCACCCGCCATACCCTTCCACACCCCCGCCATCACCATTCCCCCGGTCACCCACCCACAGCCCAACAGTACCACCATTCACTCCCACCACCACAGCCCCCAACCTACCACCACCTTTCTCGGCGACCCGGTCCAGCCACTACCACACTCGCAATACACACCACCACCAACACAGCCCTCGCGGCAACCACGAGTCCAACCAGGTCAGCAAGACTACCGCCCCGAAGATGACCCGTGGAGTAACTATGGCCGCGGCTGGGAACATCAATAAGAGGACCATCCCACTACTGAGCAGCCTGATGCCGACCTTAGTGTGTTGCTCTATGCAGATTAGACTACACAATCAAGTCCACATGCATTTTACATTTCAAGTGTCTTTTCAACCTTCAGCAGCTTTTTCAGTGAACTTTTCATTTTCATTCACGTCGTGGACATCCTGCTCAACTGTGCCCACTTACCGTTTCACATCGCACCACGACAAAATCGGAGAGTTTCCTTCAGTTTTCACTTTCGTCTTCGAGTTTGAATGTATGCTTTCTTTCCTTTTTGGTCATCGAACCTAGACTTTCCCACAACTGACCGTGACCGTCCTGCATCGCATTTGCAATCACCTGTTCTTGAGTCACTGACCTTCATACGTCCTCTAATTTACTTCACAGCTATCTTGCTCGAACGCTCCTCCTCGCCCTCTCGCCATCCTCGATCCTTTTCAGCAAACATGGATGCACAATGGCAGCAGTTCTACTGGCAACATTACCTTCTCCAACAACAACAACAACAGCAGCAACAGACCTCGGGCCAACAGACACATCAGTACACTCCCACCGGCGCGTATGGCCCACTCACCCATGCAGTCCGCACTCAACAAGCCCATCAACATCACCCTTACACTCCATCACCCGGCACCGACCGTCCAAGACTCCTGGCACTCCACAGAGTCCTGGGACTCCCACTCAGTCCATGGCCACCAACTCCACCGGACCATCCAGCCAACACAATGGCCTCGACGTTTGACGTTTTTCCCTGGCTCCTTGCGTACCATGGTGCGGCTGACTACACAGCCCGCACGCTTAGCCATGGAAAGTTCTGTGGCCTCATACCGACGAGGAGCATCGCCGAGTCAGTTTTTACCACACACCTTCTCCAGGAAATCAGAGACCGGCGCTTCGACCTGGATGCCATCGCAGAAGCCCTTCACACTGCACAAGGCACAACCATCCCCAACAAGACGACCCAAGCACGGGCCTTCCACGCCCCTTTGATTGCTCATATCACCGAGCAACTCCAGACCCATGCCCCAGCTGCAGCCGAAGGTTCCGCGCTTCGTGCCCTCAAGTCCACCACCGATGACCTCGCCAGAGCGCGCCAGAAACTTCAGGCCCATGGGATCGAGCTTACACCGCGCAAAGACGCTGGTCGATCTTCTACCACTGCCACCCTACCCAGCGCTCCCACCCCCACCAACCTCCAGCACTGGCCGACGTCCTGCAACCTCCCACCCATCCTTAAAGGATGATGTCCCTGAGGCATGGACTACACCGGCCATCCAACAGTGGATGCGCACTTTTGACTCCGCCATCCAGGACTCCGCCAACATCCTACAAACCAACAAGATCACCACCGACCAGCTCAAGGAAGCAGCAACCCGCTACGGCCCCCCCTCACTCGTGTGAACAAGCTCACGATTAAGAGCCTCCAGCAAATCGTCAGCGTGGGAGCAGCGGTGGCGTGCTGACTCTCCCTCTCCAGCCAATTTCAGCCGCACTCCAACCTTTTGCAACTCCTCCACCGCCTACACCAAGCCCTCTCCACACTTATCCACTACAGCCAATACATAGAACGAGCCGAAGCCATCTTTGCCGTTGGCCTTATCCACCTCACTCTGCTCTTTTGCTACCCATCCTCCACACAACGATCCCAACAATGGCGTCAACGACTACAACACCTCCGGGTGCTTCCCCATACCTACCATTACCACCACTTTCTCTCACCCAACTCCGTTTACGTCAAGCTTTATTTCAACACTCTCTCACCACACCGATGCTACCACCAACACGGCCACTTCTACATCGGCTCCACCAGCATTGGCATCCCCCATCGGGAACACAACCGGCGCGCCAAGCTCAAACAACTCCAAAACAACATACCAGTCTCCGCTGAACTATCCTTACGATATTGGCATTCCTACAACAATATGCATCACTTCACCCCAATCCAACTTTCCTCCCACGACACTTACGATCAAGCCTGGATTCAGGAACACCACTACATCTCCAACTGGATGCCACCGCTCAATTGGCCTTTCATTTCCCAACACCTCAAGCTGAAAGCCGAAGGCTGGCAATTCACCAAACATCGAGCACACTTCTACTCCCGCCTTGCCATCTCTTCCGCAAGCTTCGCAGACGACAACAGACCCTCCGGGAACCCTACCTATTCACATCCACCAAACACCATGCCCTTACCCTCCTTCGTAACCTCACAAAACACACGCTTGCCTCCTTTGAAGCCGCCAAGCAGCTCCGCAGTGGACGTCACACGGACCTTGAGGTCTACGCCATCCGACGTATGGCAGCCAACCTCGAAGAGCCAGGCCGCACTCGAGCACTACACATCATTCACAAAGCACTCCATTGTCGGAACTTGACCCCTCCCAAACCCAACCTTCCTCTCACCGCCCCTTTTCTGGCTCATCCCGATTTTACAAAGCATTGCCAGCAGTGGTTACAGACCACCATCCAACAACACAAACACCTGGCCATACCGTTACACCTCCCCACCCACCGCTTACGTGAAGCGGCACACAAGACACTGCGAGCACAGCTCCACAACCATCGCACCTGGGAGGAAACCCTCCACACTCCGCCACAGGCCACCGATCTGCCCTGTGCTTGTGCTCACCTCCGCACTTTACTTCTTGACCCAGCCACATCCACTATCAATGACCACTACATTCTCACACTTGACCAATTGCAACTACCACCACACCTACGCATTTTCTTGGCAGCCAACATGAATAGCACATTCTATCCCAGCAAAGCCAGATACTTCCTCACTTTCCAAACCGCCTTTTCCAAATGGCTACGCGCTCAGGGCCTCCCGACATCCCTTGTCCACCACTTGGAACCTTTTCTCCAACACCAATGGCGACTCCACACTACCCATCTTAAGCAACAACCACGATTCACAGCTCGTCTCATCCGCCAGCTACAAGAGTTTCTTGGCGACAAGGTTGTTCTTCTGCAACAGCTTCGAGTTTTCTGTCCACGCTTATACTTTGCTGGTGCTCTGAACACCTGGCACTCTCCAGAACTTTTCGAACCACTACCGTTTTTGAACCCCTCCAACATCCACGACCACCTCACCGCTACCATTCCCACGGTTCTACGAACCAAATACAAGTGGGGATTTCGAAAAGACTTCACAATCCCTTACGGCATTGTTCACCTCAAAGAAAAGAAGCACTGGAACAAGGGATGCACTATTATCTCATACTTTCAGTCCCTTAGTGGCAACCTTTTGCGCATCACCAGCCGAGCACTTGACACTATCTTGCAACACCTTTACCCTCAACACCCAGGTCAACTCTCTATACCTCAACTTTGGCGCCACTTCCACTGCTACCTTGCTGACACACCACCCGACATTACTCTATACTATATACGCCACCAATGACGACCTCGTTGGTTTCTTCAACTCAGTCCCACAACACCGCCTTATTGATGCCGTCCACTCCATGATCCAGCACTGGCAACACCAAAATACGACCCACACCCTTACAGTGGACACCAAAGCCACAGGCAATCCGTTCCACCATTCCCACATTGGCCGACATCACACCAAGCATCCCACCCAACGGACCATCCACACTTCTGACATTACAACCATGGTTGCCTTTGCACTCAACACCTGTATTTTCCGGGCATGCAACCACACATACAAACAGATCAGAGGGGCCGGGATTGGCTCCCAGCTCTCTCCAGCCCTCTGCAACGTCGCTATTACCTTGATCGAGCACTCCTGGCATCAGCTTCACAACAACCTTCTTCAACACACAGCACTCCACTTCACCTACTACCGATACGTGGACAACCGTTTCATTGTCCACAACGAACACTTCCTGTCCCACCCAGCCATCCAAACATTGATTCACCACAACTTCTTTGGTGACCCAGTCGAACTGGAACCAGTTGACGACTTCCACCTCTTGGGCTTCAACATCGACCTCCCACAACGCACCATCACCTACATTCAACCCACCCAGCCCTGGAAAATCAGGCCACACCAGCGCCGGTAGCCAGCGCTTGGCTCTCTCCGGCTTAGCTTCCAGACTCCATGCCATAGACACCTACACCTTTCCACAACAACATGCAACCGCACGCCTTTATGTCCAAAAGGGGCATGACTCTGCAGCCTGCAGACGGTTTTTGAAAAAGGTCCTTCCACAGCGCTTCACAGATCGCAGGATTGCGCCGATAGCGGCATTCTGTGTGTGTCAACCCTTGTTTCGAAGGGTCCCTCCCACCAGAAGACAATCGCAGGGGGCCAGCGGCCGACAAGCAAACGCTGGCTAACAAAGCTGTGCTTGCTCGGTGGATGCGGTCAGAGACGTCTGACCGTGTACCTGCAAAGAAACTGTTGCTCACGCTGTCCAATTTGGCTTTTTGGTTCCATGGTTCTTCATGCTGCCTACCCCTCAAACCATTTTTTCAGCCACTTTCAGCAGCTGCGCGTTTTGCCGCCTGTCACCGCAGTTGAGAGCGAAACATTTGTTCAAACATCTTCAACTCCTCGGACTTTTCACCTTTCGGTTCTACCACCTTCCTTCGACCTGGCAATTGAGTTAACTGAAAACCAATGTCGAAGTGTGTGTTACCTGAAACGTCTTCCGTCACTTAACGCAAATTAGAGGCAACGCTGTCTCGTTTTGCAGAGGCCAATCCTTCACCAGGATTCCTGCCAGCGCTAGGTTGACAGTAGATTTACTTGTAGAGGCTGGGACGAAAGCGTGGAACTGATCAAGTCAGCCCATCTCGAGAATAAGCACTTGCAAACACCATGCATTCCATTCGTTGATCAGTGAGATACCTAACTTGCTCTGACTCTGGTCAATGAATCCAACTGAACAAGGCTTGGCGACAAATCCAGGCCACAGTGACCCAACGTGGCCATGGGAATCGCCAGGTACAGCAGCTGGAGCATTGCTCCAGCTTGGTTCATTGGCAAAGCAAACCTTGCTGGAGAAGTCAAACAACGCTAGATCAAGGACAACTATCGAAAACTATGAGTTTCCCTAAAAATCTAGGAACCAAATCACTAGTGCGAACACTTCTTCAAGGAAGCTTCCCCAGCCGCCTTTAGGGCGGCGGGGGAGCTTCCTTGAAGAAGCGCGAGCTATCCTGGTACTACTAGCTACTTCCTACCTCACCTCTAGCGAGCGGCATAACCCCCCTTAACAATTTAAAAAAAAAAAACAGTATGCAAAAACAATCGCATCCCTGTCTTTTACATAAATACTCATGGCCTGGATGCAGATGGGGAGCTAAGGCCCTATTGTGGAGTACCAGCTTCGGTGGTGGTATTCTCAATACATCTTCAACAGCACTATATACTGACTACTGTTGTGGACGATTGCAGCTCTCTAAAGGAGTTGTCCGCATCATTCCGCATCTATTCTTCTCCCAATGTCCCTTGAATCTCGACCTCTGTGTACCTATTATAGGCTTTGACTTGATGTTCTTCAGAGCTGCATTTGAACATGTCCACTAGTTTATCAACTTGGCTTCTGCAAGTCCATTTTCTGTATTTCAGCTGCCAAACCAAAGACATCGCATGTCGTGGCTTACCCTGCTTCCCAAGGCATGGACGTGTTGCCGCCCAGCTTGCTTCGTTGGTGTCCTTGGCATTTGAGGTTTTGCCAAAGAATAAGGCAAGAAGTGCCACGCCACTTCTTGTTCCTGAAGCTTCAGAGTGGATCACGAAACACTGGAAAGCTAAGCAAATGAAAAAGCTCACTTCAAATGTACCCAGCCGCCCAGCCCATGAAAGCAAGGCTCAGAACATCAGCGCCCGAGTGCCATGTCTAGAGGGCACTACTTGGAGGGCGGAGCCACTTGGCTGCATGAACAGGCACTCAACTAGTCAAGAGAATGCGTCCAGTATGGAGGCATACTTCAAGCCCCAGTGTATACGTTGTGGAACCCAATAACGTGTACGACCAACGTTCGATGTGACAATTCCATGGCACACAGGCACACACACTTCGCCTTTTTGGAAGAGAGTTCATAGTGGTTTGAGTGGTCGGGAACCTGGAGTCTGAAGGACCACAGTTCCTCGTGCCTCTTTTGGCGACTCTTCAATACCTCGGCTCAATTAGTTCGAGGCAGCTGGGTTCATGCTGTCTACATTCGGCAGACTGGTGGGAATAGATCAAAAGAGTTCGTCAGTAGACTTGATGAACACAATGAACGTTCATAATGATGTCTCCGTACATGTCAAAACATCTGTCCGACATTTGGCTCCTTTCCGCGATCTCAGATGGAGGTCTATGACCAGCATCCCATGCGCAAAACTGAGGCTACAAACCATGCTTTCCACAAACCCTGCGGGCCTTTGAAGCTCTCCGAAATATCTGCTGGAGGGAAGAGGTGGATCGGCAGCGCAGCATTTGGAAGCACTATATAATGCTTAAGTTTGGTGTAGTGGTCTTGCCACCATGTCCCATTGCTGTAATCGTCCTCATCAATATCTCTAAAACCAAAGATGAGACGTTCCCCAGGTGTTGCGACAATTGGATTCTGGAGGAAACACAATGAAACATGAAAAGTAGCTCCGAAAAAAGGGTGCATTAAAGTATTAAAAAAAATTATACAGTAAAAGGTAAAAGTTGAAAAGGACAGCTTCATGTGGAGGCATCAAGCCAAAGGCTTCACAAGAAAGGCGTACCACACCCATCTTGTGGTGTGGGGACCTTCTGGGCAAGTGCTCCAACAACTTTCAGACGTAAAGTGATATAAAAATAAAGGAATGACCTCCAGGTCAGAATGACCTCCAATCTTAATTCACACCAACTCAGAAGAACCCGATGCAAAGAGTCGGCTCTACAGGCGATGCAAAGCGTTCTGTGGAAGGCAGGTGCAAAGGCGTCAAAGCCATGTTGCCACTGTGCCACTTGTCAACAGGAATGATACAACGACTCCAGGGGTCTGAGCTTTCCAGAATCTTCACAAACATATCTTCACGGTAACTTCGTCCCTGCACCTGCCCTGCTTTGCCTCCCGCAGAAATTCTTGGTCACACACACTCACTTGATTGACTCAATTGGAGTGCGGAGCCGGTCCAGTTTTGTCCTTTCGTCTCTGACAAGTTTCAATAACCCGAAGACACGGTTGATTGAATCGAACTGTTCACCCTCTCACGTTGTCGATGCCAAATGCTTTATTGATGCTTACTGAATTGCATAGTTACAAATTGAAGACACCTCCAAATCCTTCAACAAATCGACAAGGATCTGATCATTCGCCCTTAGGCCCTTAAGTCTAATTTCTCAGGGTTTTTGTTTTTTGAGTTCCTTTTGGCATGCGCTTGTTTGCTAGCACCTTATGAATGACCGCGGGGAAGGTGAGAAGAGCGTCAGCAAACCGATTGTTACTATATAAGTATTTCCCTCACCTTCTCTTACATTCGTAATTATGCGGGGGACGGTCGCTTGAACTGCTCTTGGTAACCTTCCCCGTAGTTTCACTTCCGCGCGAATGAGTGCTCAATTACTCTTTCACAAAGAGGCTTGATTCCTAGCATACTGAGTAGGGTTGAAACTGTCCAATTAAGCAAATATAGCTGATGGAGGCAGAAACATGATAACTCTGTTTCATGCACCTCTGTGTAAATTCACAGGCGCCGCTTCCATGCTTGCATAAAGCTGCGTGGGAAAAATTAAGGCCTTTGCAATGTCCATGGCTGAGTGACATAGCTAGGATGGCTACCTCGCTATCTTCATTCGCAAAGACCCCTACCTGAAGAGAAAGTGAGCGACTTCAGGACTTCCGCAAGGTTCTTGCGATTTGATGCGGATTGGTGTTAGATTTGCATTGCCTCTATGAAGGGGGTGGGGGATTGAGAGGGTTGTGGCCAAAGTGGTGACGTGCATTGCGAGTGCAACGTAAGATGATTATGATGTCGCTCGGTGATGTAGAACAACTACGCAGATGATCTTGCTACATGATGTAGGTTCATGTCATGTCTACGTCACATGATGTCACAGGAGGTTCCACTAAATGTTTATAGGCTAGTCTAGGGCATCTTCTACAGGGGTTGCTCAAAGTCTTGAGAGCTCGCGCTCTTTAAACGAGCATTGTGGCAAACCTAAAAGAACAATAAAGAACATATTTTTGTAGTAAAAAAAGGTTGACAAGCAAACATGCAGCTGCTTACAGTCATGCAAATGTACTGTGATTTACAAACTTAAAAGCCCCAGATCAACTTTTACAGTTTTTACTGCTGGGAATGGGACATGTTCAGCATTCCTCAACATGAAATGACATTTGCAAAAATCATGAAACCGCACCTTGACTGAGGAGATCAAAACAGCCCTTTGAAGAATGAAAGTTCACTGTGTCGAACCTACACATCTTGAAGCGGCACTCTAAAAGTAAGAAATTCGCTTCTGTTGGCACATGTCTCAATGCATCATCATAACATTCACACTCTATCAGAAGCACAAGCAGGCTCCGCGTTTACAACTCATCTGGTGCTTACTCATCTCATGTTCGTTCGGAGAACCTCCGGTCTGGAGCCACATTTGTTCTTCGATCTTGCAAGAAGCCAGCCCATGTTCAACTCAAAGTAATGCAACACTGTAGCTTGTACTTGGCGTATCTTGCGATCGATTACAGTGTTAAGAGTCTGCAGGAAGTCATGTTCTGACAACAAACTTGCCAGCAATCGCTTACTTCTCCAGGCAGGTCTGGCATATGTACAAGTCTAGATTCGCAAATCTGCCTCTTTTCCACATTGGGTGGCTACAATAGTGAAATGTCCAAACAACAAAGACACTCTCAGCAAGGGGCAGGTCTGCTCTCTAATGATTTGCTAGTGCTTCGCGCATGGCTCTCTTCCTCAGATCAACAGCACAACTTCGAAGCGCAACTTCAAGCATGTTCGAACCAACATATGTGCTGTTTTCCAACCAACACCTTCCTGAACCAAGACTTTGGCTCCCAGCTTTGCTAAAGCCAAGCGACTGTTATTGAGTCTGGGGACTCAATGATTTCAAAAATCCCGAGATCAATCGGAATCCGGTAGATGTCCTGCAACTGGTCCTCCTCATCCACAACCTAGTCGGAGAACTTGGGACACAATAAGTTCAGAATCAAGACTCTTTCTCAAAAACATTCGTGTTTTGGCAGAATGAATGCATGGCCCACCCGTCGAAGTTGAGTGTTCATCTCAGCTCACTGATGCCTTTTGCTGTTTTCCTGTCCGAGGCCTTGCCACCATCTGCGGCTTTGCTGACCGAACCGGACACCACCTTTGCCGAGAGTTTGGCTCTGAGCATTTCGATAGAAACATCCCTAATCATACTTGCCCTTGTGGAAGAACAGGAAGCAATCAAAAAGAACATGTCTGGTGTTCCGTTTGAAGCCAAGCTCTTTATCAATGCTAGCGAGTCGTGCAGGTATGTTGTTGCTCAACCAATCACAAAGGCGTCCAGTGCAACTGTGTCTGTTTGCAAACGATGCAAAATAATAATTGCCGGCAAAAAGGTGCAAAAGGACTGCCAGTACAAAGAGGGTGAAGCGTTTTATGACGCATACATTGCACGTCAGCATTGCTTCACAAGTACTATTAACTACTAGCTTTAGCTTGAGCCGGTCTTGCTTTAGAATTCTATGTTGTTCAACATTCTGTGAAGGACCCAAAATTCAGAATTGAATAGACTCAGCTTTGACCTGGTTTAGCCATGTTTGTTGATGATGTAAGACACGTTGTCGAACTGTATGGCATTTCTTGCATCAGTGTTACCCTTGTGAAGCGCTTGACTGGACTTGTGCTACCACGTCCTTGTCTTTTCCAATCAAAACTGTTTTGTGTTTACTATTGAATACGGGTTCCTGAATTTGAGTGTACCGTCAGAATCAGCTCCAAGAATGAACTCTTTGTTGGGTATACTATCTTCCCAGTTCCAGGCCTTTGAAAAGGCGGAATTGGGTTCATTGCAGTTTCTTGTTCCTAGTAGCTTCTTGTTACTACTAGTAAGGCACTTGTTACTACTAGTAAGCACTTGTTACTAGCAGCGATGCACTTTTACTTGCAGTTTTCACAGTTGGGGTTACTGTAATTAGGTTGTTCTTGAGGAGAAAGGAGTTCCGATCAAGATCGCCTGGGGGGCACTGTATGATTTTCTGTGACTGCACGGGTGTAGTTGCCAGCCTCCGTCGCGAAGCCATGCGAATGAGACACAATAGTATATATAGGCACAGCACATAAAAATGGGCAGGGAGAATGTGAGAGCAAGGCATCAATGGCAAAACAAAACGAAGAAGAATGATGTTGACAAACACCATCAAGGAAGGACAGCACAGCAACAAACGGCGGAGAAAAAGCCGAGAGACCAATGCCACAACAAGGCAAAAAAGGAAGATAAATATAAATGCAATGGTTGTCTTTTGTTTCGTTATCGTGGTTGTCTTTCTTGACATGTTTATATAGGTGTTGCAGTTGGCAAATTACAAAGACATCCAAAAATGGTTACTGCGAAAATGCATTCACTCATACATACCGATAACCGCAGGCCCTTAGTGCTGAGAAACAGTGCACTTCCGCATGGTAGCGGAGCCGTGACGTCGATTCTTTAAGTCTCGACCGAGCTCCAGCGCGGATTTGGACCCCAGGGTTGACCTTCGCCCGCGCCGAGCGACCATATAAGCTAGTGTGGCAGTTCTCGCAATCTAAGCTTGTGTTGATTTGGAGACCGAGCGTGAACTCCACCATCGATCTTGACCTTGCCCCCATCTTGGAAGTTGAAGAGGTGTTTGAGGAGTTGGCAGAGCTCCTACTTCCTTTAGCCCGAGGAGGTCCCTGAAGGAGAGAAGGGTGAGAGAGTATGGATGGATCGGGAGGCGAACTCCCCATGGCAGGAGCTGGCATGACTGAGCTCACTCAGGCCTTGATCGGTGCTGCTCAAGCGGCCACCCTTGCCGCTAGTCAGGCTGCCCAAGCTACAGCTAGTCAGAGCTCTCCTGCAGGTGGAGGTGATGCTGGTGGGTTGAAGAAAGATTTGGCCAAGTTGATCCCACGACCGCAAGTGTTCAACCCCGCTGACCGTGAACAGGAGGTTTTACAGTGGAGAGATTGGTTTTGGAGTTTGAAGCAATATTTGGTAGTTGTTGATGGAGCATACCAAGAAGAACTGGAAAAGATGGAGACCAATCCCACTTCAGAGTATGACTGGGACTTGATGTCAGATGAGGACCAGCAAAGAAGCCGCTTCTTGTACTCCCTGTTGGGAGGATTGATCCAAGGAAGGCTGGTCGGAGTTCTGAAGACCGTGGACAAGTTCAATGGCTATGAAGCGTTGAGGCAGCTCCTTGGAAACTGCCAACCACAGGCGAGGAATCGTACTATGAACTTGCTCCAAGGGATAATGGCCTATCCCCAGTTCAATATGAAGAACTCACTCCTGCCACAGATTTTGAAGTTAGAGGAGCACTTCGTTCAGTATGAGCGCCTTGGAGGAGGAAAGTTGGCTGGAGACATGAAATCCGCGATCCTCCTAAGGTCAGTGGGAGGTCAGATGAAGACCCACCTGAACATCACGTTGAATGAGGGCAGCAGTTACAACAAGATCAGGGAGTCCATCCTAGCCTTCGATACAGCTACAACAAGATGGAATGAGTCAGCTGCCCTATCCTTCTCAGGAATGAGCCCAATGACGTTGACGACTGATGGTCCGGTGCCCATGGAAATCGACCGGGTGCAGAAGGGAAAGGGCGGAAAAGATCCGAAGGGAAAAGGAAAGGACTCGAAGTCAAAAGGAAAAGGAAAAGATGAAAAGGGCAAAGGCAAGAGCAAGAATGGGAAGTTCGGCGGAGGAGCAAAAGAAGGTAAAGGCAAAGGAGCCAAGGACAACAAAGGGGGCAAAGGAAAGGGCAATGGAGAAGTTTGCTGGACGTGCGGAAAGCCTGGTCATCAGGCGAAAGACTGCTGGCGGGTGAGGCAAGTTGAAGCACCAGCCACCCAGAGTGTTGCAGGGTCAAGCCAGCATACTACGTCACCATCGACCACCACAAGTGGAACTGGTGGCGGAGGAGACCAGAGTACGTCAGCAAAGTCAATTCGAAGAGTTTCACAACCAGCTGTTTTTGATTTGCGAGAAGCTTCAACAGGTGGTTCAATTCGAGTGGTGCAGGAAGTGGCCGTGGAGTACTACAGCATCTTCACGGACGAGGAGAATGACGATGAGCAAGCGGCCTATGTGGTGAACACGGTGCATGAGAGAAGGGAAGATAGTGAGGAGAGTGAAAGTTTGGTAGAGGACGGCATCAAAGGCCCTTCAATGGCAGTGATCGTGGATTCAGGAGCGGACGCATCCTTGTTCCCTGGCTTCATGAGGGAGATGGGAGAGGAGTCGTCTGGTGGAACACCCCATTTGCAGGACGCCCAAGGGACCAAGATCAAGACCTATGGAAGTCGAGATGTGGACATCATCTTGTGGTCTACAGAAGGTCGCCAAGTGGTCTTGAAGGAGAAGGTCACATTCAGTGATTGTGTGAGTCAGCCGATCATCTCCTACGGAAGACTCATGAAGAGTGGGTGGTCCTTGGATGCGAATTCGATGTGTTTGACACATGGAGAGTTGGAGGTGCCGTTGACGTTTCAGAACCAAAGCCTAGTGGTTGATGCCTGTATCAGGACCATCTCCAAGCCACAGGTGATTCGCACGTTGGCAGTCCAGCTCGATGAGGAGTTGCAGAGGACTTCTGAAGAGTACTATGGATGGAGAAAGAAGGGTGACTATTGGTTGGGACTGCATTTGGGACGCTCATACCAAAGCCCTCAGTTTATTCCAGGTTTCCGAAGTCAAGATGAAGGGTTCTGTCGGTCCACCTTGGTGAACAGAGGAGGACAATGGGAGTTAGTCGAAATGGCTGAACCTCTTGACAGCCTGGAAGACCAAGAGGAGGCGATTGAAGAGTTGAAGAGTGAAGAGATGAGCAGAATTCTCACGTTCATTGCCAAGGAGGGCATGACCCCAGAGAACTTTGGGTTTGAGCTGAGTGAGGGCTTCAAGTGGTACAAGCCCCGAAGCGAAGAGATCGAGGATCATGCTATCCCAGAGGCCGAAGAATCTGAGGAGGTTGAAGACATGGAGATTCCCAGTGGAGAGCAAGCTGAAGGGAGGAACCTCGATGATCAGCTCGTGAGGTTTGAGGTTGGACCAGCTTTGCCGAGTCACATTACAGTCAACGATGTGGTCCTTACATTGGAAAGTCCCTTGAGGAGTTTGAGAGCAGCCTGCTCCTACTACAAGATAGGCCAGAGTGGAGGAAAGAAGAAGTGCTTTGGTAGGTTGCTCGAGCACCAGAACAAGATGGAGTTGCTGCTCGCGAAAGACTTGGCAGCACAAGCAGAGGCATTCGAGAAGCGCATTCCTGTGGAGCAAACAGTGGCAAAGGAGCCTACAGAGGAGGAGAGAAGGCAACACCAGCTGACTCACCTCCCATATGCCCCATGGTGTGCTTCTTGCCTCAAGCATCGAGCACGGCAGGACCAGCACAGGAGGACAGGCAGAGCTCGTGAACAGGGATGCCCGACGATCTCATTTGACCTGTGCCATGTCAGAGCCTCAGGGTCTGGAGCATTGGGAGGAGAAGAGCAGGAAGATAGGGCACAGCTGGGAGTGTCAGATGAAGGAGGAGCGTTACTCCTGGTAGCTGTGTGCTCACAAACAGGATACTTGTTGGCTTTGCCGTTGAAGTCAAAGGGGCAACTGGCATTGATCACCCACGAGTTACTCGCCTTCACGCAGGTCTTGGGGCATGAGGAGGTACAGTACTACTCAGACAATGAACCTACTCTGAGGCAGGCACTCAAGCTCCTAGTTCAATCGAGGTCTGCATTTGGGCTGAAAACGACCATGAGGACAACTCGGATCTACGATGCAGCTGGGAACAGTTTGGTTGAGAATGCCATCCAACGGATCAGGAATGTAGCTGCAACCCTCATGGAGAGCCTTACAGAGTCCACAGGCCTTCGCTTCAGCAGCCAGCATCCATTGTGGACATGGGCATGCCGACATGGAGCTTGGTTATTGAATCGGTTCCAACCCTTTCAAGGCTCAACAAGCTATGAGCTATGTCAAGGTCGGGCCTATGAGGGAAAGCTGTGCGAATACGGAGAGATCTGCTTTGCTTACTCAAAGCCCAAGCAGGGATTCAAGGCAGACCCGAGGTGGAAAGTTGGGATTTGCCTTGGAAAGACAGAGATCCAGGACGCTTGGGTGATCGGTGATGGCAATAGAGTTTTCTTAAGCAGATCATTGAGGAGAGTTTCCAATGCCAACAAGAAGTACTTGGCCTGCTACCAGAACTTCACGGCTTACTCTTGGGAGTTCCAGCAGAACTTTGGAGGACGGATTGTACCCTCCAAGAGGCTAGCAGCTATGGTGACAGGGCCGATGGGAGTTCCTATGCCAGTGAGCAAGGCCATAGCAAGTCACGATGAGGACGCCTTGGAGGTGCTCGCCTTTACAAAGACCTTGGCAGGAAAGCTTGAGGAGGCCCAAGATTTGGTAGCTGAAGAAGAGAGGCCAGTTGAAGTTGGCAGCCTGGGAGAAGAAGAAGAGAAGAAGCTGGCCGAGGAGAAGAAGAAGGACTACGTGGAGGATGAAGTCCAGGAGTTGATTCCAGTGAGAAACCCAAACCAAATTGATGAAGGCCGGAACCAGGCAGGACCTTCAACAGTGTGGCCGAGTACACCAAGACCAGAAGCTCAGAAGGGTGCTTTGAGAGGAAATGAGGAGGAACCCGAAGGAAAGAGATTCAAAGTAACCTTCGAGAAGAATATCCACAGTTTGGATCAGGATGCACCCGAGGCAAAGAGATTGAAGCAAGAGGAGAAGGTGCAAGAGGAGAGACGGGTGGAAGCCACAGAAGTTGAAGGAAGGCTTTACTACCACATGGACAAGGTCATTGAGGAGGACTTTCTGGAATGGGAAAATGAATGGGCGTTGGAGGAAGAAGAGTCCCTTCAAGACATTCCAGATGAGCTTTGGTCTGACGCTCCATTGGATAGAGTTCCACCTGACCCTCCAAAGTGGGTGGACGACCTGGCGAATGAGGTGGAGGAAAGGAGACTACAGAAGTTGGGAGTTTTGGTCCCAATGGATGAGTTGAAGCACGGTTACAAGAAGCTAACCACCAGGTTCGTTCATGACTGGAGGGCGAAACCAAGATCCAAGTTGCCGGGAGCACCAAAGCAGTTCTTGAGGAGATCGAGAATGGTAGCAAGAGAATACGCCACAGATCGAAGAGATGATGTACACAGCCCAGCCAGTGGAAGCCATGCTTTGAGGTTGATACCCACTCTGTACCTGATGAGGAAGAAGGAGATGGAAGATGGTGGCCCACAGGTTCAGCTTGGTGCGCTGGACGTGAAGGATGCCTTTCTGCAGGTACCACAAGATGAACCAACTCAAGTGACAACGGCCACGGGACATTTTGAAGTCCGCCGAAACCTTCCAGGACAGAGGATTGGGGCAAAAGCTTGGTTCGATTATTTCACGGGTTGGCTATGTGAGAAAGGATTTGAGTTTTCGAGAACGAATCCATGCTTGGGCAAGCTCTCCAACAAGATGACAGTGTTGATCCATGTGGACGACGTCCTATATCTTGGAGAGGAGGAGTACGTTGTGAACGACTTCTTGCCAAGCATCAAAGCAAGGTTTGAAATCTCGGAACAGCATCTAACTGGTCCTGGCAGCTCCTTCCAGTTCTTGAGGAGGACGTATGAGGAGACAGAGACTGGGCTGAAGGTCCACCCTGGCAAATATGCCGAAAGCATGGTGGAGATGTACGAGGAGACCATGGGACGTGCAAAGGTTCAATCCCTACCATGCAGCCAGGAAATGCTTGAGGCTGATGGCACAACACAGCTGAGGGCAGATCTTGCGAGTCTCTATAGATCTTTGGTTGGATGTGGAATATACCTTTCACAAGAGCGACCAGATGTGTCCTATGTGATCAAGGAGCTTGCAGGGTCGATGTCATGCCCGACAACCGGAAGCTTGAGGAAGCTTGGAAAGTTGGTTGGTTATTTGAAGAATACCATGGGCCAGTACACGATGCTGGAGATTGAAGAGCCAGGATCAGGACTCGCTACGAGGACAACGAAGGGCAGATGGCTGCTGGAGACGTTCTCGGACAGTGACTGGTCAGGGTCCAAGAGCCACAGACGTTCCACGTCTGCAGCAATCCATGTGGCCAACGGAGTGGTGGTTTTCACAAGCTCAAGAGGGCAGAAAAGTGTGACGTTGAGTTCTGCAGAGGCTGAGCTTAATGCATTGGTTTCAGCAGCAGCAGATGGAATCTACCTGAAGAAATGCCTCGAGTTCATTACCGAGGAGGAAGTGATCCACCATTGTCTAGTTGACAACTCAGCAGCACTCCACCTATGCCATAGGAAGGGTCCCGGAAAGCTTCGGCATATCTCGGGAAAACTGCTGTGGATACAGGATTTGGTGGCACAAGAGGAACTCCAAGTAAAAGCAGTGGGGACAGTGTACAACATTGCTGATCTTGGCACAAAGCCCCTCACCAAGAATCGCATCAGCTTGATTCTCCATTGGTGCAATGCTCGAAGATGTGATGGGGAGAGATTGGGCCAGGAGGAGCATGGCCGTCTGCAGGAGATGAGTGTAAGCCAAGTCAAAATTGGCAAGCTGGCGAAACTACTCAATAGAATCCTGCTACTTGAGGGCCTTGGGCAAGTGGCCGGAGTAAGGAACGACGCCTTGGAGATTGAGCCCACGGAGAATGCTACTTGGTGGTGGTGGTTCTTCATCATCATGATTGTGGCGGTGTTGATCTTAATCGTGATTGGCACGATGGTGATGATGTGGAGGCGCATCAAAGCGCTTGAGACTGTGATCCAGCAGATGAAAGATGATAGTCATGTTGATGTCATGACCCAGGGGGCGATGACATATGAGGTCGAGGAGAAGGTGAAGGAGGTCAGCAAGGAAGTGAAGGATTTGAAGACCTATACACAGCAAATCCACAGAGGATTGGTGAAAGCTTCAGGATATGTAGATGCAACAGAGTTCCAAGAAGGAGATTGGAAGCACTGGAACTACCTACAGCACAGCAATCGAGAATTTGATCTTCGGAGAATGGATGCCCAAGTCAAGGAGTACCTGAAGGCAAAGCAAGAGCGAGATGAGGAGTTGGATGAACAACGAATCCCGTTGGGCAACCCCAGTCCACAGCGGGAGGAGAGTGAGAACGATGATGATGACGTCATTGAGGGTGAAGAGACAGTCCAGATTCGACTGGATTCAGGAGAGGTGGTAGAGATACCATTGAGGTTCATCGAGCCGCGTGAACCCGAGAGTGAAGGAGATGTCGAGATGACAGATGCACCAGCAACACCACAAGTCACAGCACCAGAAGAAGAAGTACTGAGAGAAGAAGCCCGGATGCCTGAGAGTCGTGAAGACCCAACCATCAGCAAAGCTACAAGCGGTTGGATTTCAGGCGTAGAGCTTCGTAGGTTGACGGTTTTTGACAAGGCTGCAGCACGCTCGTGTCTCAGGGCGAAGCAGCATTTGATGAAGTGTGAACAGGAATGGTGGAAAGCAAACCAGAACGATGATCATGAGAAAAAGTATGAGATTTACGAAAACATGGACCGACACCATGAGTTTCTGGATTGCGACGATCTACCCTTTTGAAAGTTGAGGCATGAACACGCCAACTTAGTTCAAGCCTCAAAGGAGGAGTGCGAAAATGCATTCACTCATACATACCGATAACCGCAGGCCCTTAGTGCTGAGAAACAGTGCACTTCCGCAGTTACAAATGTATACAAATGTACACGCCAAATGAACAGAACTGTCCACGAGAGAATATCGATTTGCCATTGCTTCGGGGTCTAGTTTCGACCCACAGCTGTGTATTTTGATACAGTCTGCGCGAGAGGGAGCTTGCACAGCATTCAGCCTCAGTCTATGTGTCCATTTACATATTAGGTGGCACCTGTGACAGTCTCACCGTGGACTCCACTCTTCATGTTAGCAACCAGGCGTGACTGTCTTGTTTGAACAAGGAATCCTTCTTCACATTCTTTGAATTAAAGAGCACCTTCTTCACGCAAAGGATGTCGATCAAGTCCTGCCCCACCAAAAAGGGTCACTCCATCTAGGTCAGGGCCACAGCAGGAGGTTCATTTTGTTTGGGATATATATATATATGTTTTTGCCAAAAGAAAAACAAGAAAGAGAACGTCAAACTTTCAATCACGAGAACAGTTGGTATTGTTATGCAGCCAAGCATAGCGTCTCTTCCTTGCGCCAGAGTTGTTTCATAGTGGTTTACACAAGCAGATCTGTGTTGGGTCCTCCAATGGTTTCGCAGGTAGGATGTCAAAACCGCGTGTATATTGTACATGTTGCGGTCCTTCGACACCTTCCAGGGTGCATCTTTCAAGACAAACGACCTCGAAGCAGCGCTGATTCTTTCAGATCCTAATGGAATGCTTGGCGAAGTCTCAAAAGAGATCGAATTAACAAAGTCAAGCGATCCCCTGTATCACATCTTTGAATTACAGTAAATATATATATATATTATGTTCCTCGTTCCCTGTGCAAGCAGATCCTCAATCGTTTGTGCAGAACTGTAGCTGAGTGGCACATGGCGATTCTGAAGAATTCGCCCAAGTCGTGTCGCGAAGTCTTCATGGCTTTGAGATCCAAAGACATCACTCCTTGACTCCGAAACAAAACACAAAGGTTCTTTTTTCTTTCGGAGGGTAGGCCGCTAGTAGAGGTAGGAGATAGGTAGTAGCTAGAGGTAGCTAGTACCTACAAGTAATCTACTGGGATGTGCTTAGCAATTGTTACGAAGGGTGAAGCATCAACTCCAACCGGAAGTAAGACTCACATTAGACTCACATTAGCAGTACATTGCCCCCTGCACACCGGACACGCCAATTTTTACTCTCGCAGCCCTGGAGCGGGGAGAAATGCGACCCGGACCAGCACAGCAAACCAGCTGTGCAAGGGTAGTAAAGGGAGGAAACCAACCACCCCAAACTTACCTAAAAGGTCGCAACGAATAAGCACCCCCTTCAAAAAAAAGGAGAGGGCGGGCGGGGTCAAAAGAAAGAAAAGACACAGCCAAGCAAAACACCGTGGTGGAGGTTCACACAACCGCCATCAAACGTTGCCCAAGTCCATGAGCAACCCCACTTGGCTGAACTCATGCATTCAAACAAAATGGTGACAGAACGTCAAACCAACCGATTGGATGGAACAAGTCATTGCAAGCAAATCCCCGTTTGTTGCACGCTCGCGTACACATCCCAGGAACTGGATGCAGGATAGCTCACTCTTCTTCCAGGAAGCTCCCCCCGCCGCCCTAACGGCGGCGGGGGAAGCTTCCTTGAAGAAGTGCTCGCACTAATGATTTTGTTCCTAGATCTTTAGGGAAACTTAAGCCATTCCCTTGTAACGGCTACAATGACATATTACAGTTACAAACTATGACTTGTCCAATTGTGCAACCGTTCCAGTTCCAGTGACTGTTTACAACCGCAGCTCAATTGCCTCCAAGGTGCAAAGTTTGGTCGGAATGCACACCCACAAGAACGTGCGAGCCTCGCGCTTTTGCCTCCTGGCAGCGCATCTCAGCGAACAAAAAAAGAACTGAAGAAAATGTCTATAGAATATGTATATATATATATAATATGTGTGTAATCGATTTTCGCGTGGCGGGCACTATTGATTCTGAGCGAAGTCAACCCAACATGTTTCCACATGCCATGCTGAGCTATTCCTCCGGTAGCTCCCGAATACCGGCCTTCAAAATTCGTTGGTGCCCTCCATGCAAGAAGTTCCATGCACCATCAACCTGTAGCGAGCAAAGGCTGTGCCTTCGGCAGGCCTCAATTTTGCTAGCTGCTGGTCTGGGCCAGTCTCCTATGGAAGAGCTTGTCTGCCAAGCTACGTACACCACCTCCTTGCAGTCCCACGGAAAGTCTGTCGTGCCTCAAGGTCAACGTGAACGGTCCCAAGACTCAATTATCTGTTCTGATACCATGCACTAGAATTTGAAGCAGTGCATGTCAGGAGGCTGAGAGAATTTTAGCTCCTATGTCCGTTCAGCAGTGATCCCACAGATTTGCGGGCACCAATGCAAGGGAAAACAAATGAATCTGAAATCAGTCTTTTCTTTGGGGGTAGACTGGCCGATGACACCCATCAGACATGGTTTGGTCGTCCCTTTTTGTTGTTTATGCACCATTCGCAAAAGAAGTCCGAACGAAGTCTGAATTCCTTTCTGACGAGGCCTTGTGTAGTCCAAATTTAACCAGGGTGTGGTTGGTTTGGACATCATAGAGATTGTGAGATCGTAGACAAGAGATCCTTTCTCCGTGTTGCGGTGTCCCCCATCGACATTGTCTCGCCTTCAGCCAGCTCCACAAGGTCAGGCAAAGGTGAGCCAGTGAGGGCCTCATTCGGTGAAGGTGGCATGGCAGGCGGGTCCACAAGCTTTTCGTTGAGTCCTCGGCTTGGCAAGATGATAAATACAAACCGACCACTTCTACAAGTGGTACAGTGTCTGGTCTCTCGTCTGTTGCCTATATATTTCTAATTGATTGAGTCTGACAGACTTGGCAACTGCAACAAATTGGATGAACACATTTATATATTTGCCCCCCTTGGGAGAAGAAGACAGCCTATCGTTGAATGAGCGGCCGCCAGTTTTCATGCTGTTAGATCATACGAGTGACCATTTCTTCCAGGCCCAGGTGCTCACTGCGAACTGCTTGCAATCGGTGGAGGCAAATGCAAGCACTGCGATGTCTTCATTCCTTGGCTCATTACATTTGCATCTGTCCAATTATCCTTGGATGGTGGAAAGCAAGACACGACTTCTGTCTTGGAAGTAGATCCGCTCGTGCTTGCAAACATGTTGTGGATTGGACTTTGCAGCATAGTATGGACACAGGAGTGGAAACAATCACTGCAGTCTTTGATGTCCTATACCGCTCGGCAGGATATTCAGGATATGTGCAAGACTTCCCTGGCCCTGTATTGCAGAGTCAGGCTGTGGAAGCAAGAATGCGTTCAATCCTGCTCCTCTTCTAAACTTCAGCCAATAGACTGCTGCTTCAGTTTGGAAAGCCAACTTTGGCAGACCTCCCAGTTGCTGAAAAAAGACAATACAAGCGCTCAGCAGGGGTTTTGGGGTTCTTCGATTCTGTCGTGTTTGTTTCACAAAAAAGTGATGAAATGTGATGAAAAGGAATCTGTCATTGCAAATACTGGAGTCGGCCCTTCAGTGCAGAACCTACCAAAAGTGTGACAGAAACTGCAAAGCACATCATCAGCACTTGGGAGAGGTACAAAAGCAAGCCTTGGACATCATGATTAAGTCGATGAAACGAAATGGCTTTGCTTTGCGCACTGAGAACGTATATTGGATCGTTGCATTGCTTGTTAACTAGTGTGTATAATCTCATACGTAAGTATTGCCAAGGCTTTGGTCACGGCTCAAATTGTTTGGAGGTGGTGACATGCATCAAACCTTGGGCAGTGGTACGAAGCTCCCGTTGAGCAGTGCCTCGCATGGCCAAAGTGGATTCATCTTATCCTCGGGAGACAGTTTCATGCGCCTCCAAGGTCAAAAGTCGAGGCTGTGTCAAACTATATATCTTAATATGTCATACTCAACACACACATTCTGGCCCAGGGCTCATGCTGCAAAACTTTGTTCTGTAATAGCATTTATCTTGCAAGCTGTCAAAGCTTCGGTGGGTGACGTGCATCTCAACCTTGTGCCTTTGAACTGCGCTGATAATAGAGATCAAACTGTGCAGAGTATGAACCATCCTTTGTGTGCACGCTGTCTCTCTTGATGGGCTGTGGACTGGGGACCACGCAAATCAGAGACTATTTCAGGCTCTTTAGCTCTCCCCCTCTCTCACCTTGCTATGCGATACTGCATCAGCAAAATACCTGGAGATGTCTTCATTCAGCTGATTCAGCTGTGTGTCTGCCGGGTCCAGAGTAGCAATCGTGCTGATGTCCTTGGCATGGACAAGGTCACTCGCAGCACCTGGCGCGTGGAACATGACCCGAAAGAGTGCCGAAGGGACTTTCATTCATCAGCCCTTTAAACATATTTAAAGCCAAGTAAGATGGAACCCTTGGAAAGTTGCAATCTCTAACCTATCCACCAATGACCACTACATCGAAAACAACCGTTTGAGTGTAACAGAACTAGACGAAGAGAATGATATGTAGTTTGTGCCTTGTTGTCGAAGCATTTGGTGTTCAAGTGTTAATTTGAACTCTAGGTTTGCTCAGATCAAACACTGCTGCCACGTGCACGAGTGATTGCTGCGCGCTCAGCACAAAAGGATCCCGCCGGCAAACTCACCTCGGAAGAACGGGAGCAGGCCCTCTCATGTGAAGCAATTGAAGTGGCAAGCTCGATCATGATCCAAGATGATCCAAGACTGTTTGGACGGCGTCTTGGCTCTCAAAAACCTGCAAAATCTATCCTGAGTCCTGAAAGCAACACAAACCAGAGCTCTTGCACAAATGAGGATACTGCTTCGCAACTAATTTCATTGCAACCCATCAAATGCAATCTGCTGCGCTCCTGCCGTATCTCAGTTCTCTTCTGGCCTCCGTATTCATGCCACGGAAAGTGCGATAACCAGACTCGCCTGAGTGGGAAACTTAAGAGGCTCTCTTGATACTATTTGATTGTTGTCTCTGCTTCCAGTTCCTCAACTCTGAACATGTCATAGGCGGTGGCATCAAACCACTCCGAAAGGTCCAATTGCAATCCACTAAGTAGCTGCGGCAAATCAAGATCGAAAGCACCGACTTGCCGGACTTCCGCTGCCAAAATGGGTCTTTCGAGGCATCTTGCCACTCTGCAAAATACCTCGTCCGTAGTGGAAGGGGTTCATCATGGCTCCATGGTGGCTTGTGAGGGTGCGACACCTGCTACAAATCCAACATCAGGGGTGTCAGACACTTGGTAGATAAGTAATGAAAGGGTTGCATGCGCGAAGTGTCTGTTGGCATCTGTTGGCCAAGATGCTGTTGCATCTCATGAATAGCAATCGACATGGCTTTCAGCTCTGGCAGATCGAGAGCCAAGTGCTCCTCCGTCCACCACTCCACCACTTCCTAGGTGGCATCTGTTCTGTCAGAACAAAAGCCGGAAGGAGGAGACCCTGTGGTTTGCCCAGACATGAGACCTGATAAACAGGCGCCTGGAAGCCAGTACTCATGCCTTCACGGAGCAACTGTTTCAACACCTTGTACCTCCGAAGCTTGTGGTTCTGATTCCGACGTGACAGTGACACGACAAAAGCAAGCCTGAGTTATTGGTTCGCGGCTGAATGGATGTGAGTGGCATAATGATATGCCATGACACGCAAGACATGGGGTGGTAAAGCCTTGAACAATCTTGAGCACCTGTCTGTCTTTTTGCTCGAGGTGCTGGGTCGCTATAGGTGCTCAAGGCTGGAGAAGCCGGCGGCAACCTCGGACTCGATGGAGTCAGAAAGAGCCTCACAGTCACAAAGAACAGCTCCTGTCGTCGCGTCAGTCGTTTCTTATACTTAAAGGGGGTGGTAATACGTAGAGGTGTTTTATGACTTGGTAAAATGGCCTAGGCGCCAGGACGCATTCTCAGCTGGGGAAACTTCATAAATCAATACTCTATTGCTTCTCTTTGCTTTTCATGAAAACTTGCTTCTGTAAACTTTAGACAAGCACTCTTTCATGGCTGTTCTGTTTGTGTTGTTCTTTCGTTTGTCCCTTTGTCCCTCTTGCTCCTACTGCTTTCCTTCCCGATTTGAGTGTGATACCGTTCGGCTTTTGTGAGCCAAGCGAGCCAAGTGGCTTGCGTCTCTTCGCATCGCTCTCCTGTTTTGAAGACTATGTTAAATCCATGCAAAACAAACTGACCTTCACACTGCTCACAAATCGTCTGCATCTTTCCAAGGATGGTATGCCACCTACGGCCTCATGACAAAGCCTTGTCGGTCTCCCAAGCAGTTTCCTCGCTTCACCTATCTCGGTCATGTGAGTCATTCGATGTTTCTGACGTTTGACACACCCAAGGACCATCAAGGACCCAGCTCCTGCGCCATGAGCATTCAATTTACCTCTCAGACCATCCAGGCGGAAGGCATTTGGCTTAGGTGAATCGATTGGCTCTCGGCTCTGTTTTTGTGGTTCTGGAATTCTTCACCCAGAATCATTCAGCTGAGTGCTTGCACCAAGCTTTCTACCCAGAGTTTTGAGCCTGATTGTCGTCAATTGTGGTATGACAATGACAAGCCATGTTGTTGCTGTTGTTGTGGTTGTTGTGGTTGTTGTTGTTGTTGTAACTCTCAGCTGAGGAAGGTTGCACTATCTCAGTCAAAAGTAAAAGGACATTCCGTAAGAATCATTGCAAATCGCAACAAGCGGATGTCCCGTCACTGAACGGAAGCCAAAAAAGACTTGTCCAAATGTGCCCCGCTGGGCAGCTGAGCCAAAATGAATCAATGACGGGTTCTTTGTCGAGTTCTCCGTTCCAAGAAACATGGAAAAGGCAAAAAATCATTCAAAGAGATACTGAAGAGCTCAGGAGAAGCATAGCAGCTTGGCACATGAACATTGAACTCTGAGAGGTTCACTGCTGCGCACATGATGTTCTTCCAAGATTTGGCCAAAAGCACGAGACCTCATGAGGTGAACCCTGGGGAAGTTGGATGAACCCGAGTGAAGCCGCTTGAAACAAAGCCCGTTCAAAAACCTGGCGAGATTCTCCTTGAGCCCCTTGACCAAGAATGTTAAGTACAGCTTAAGTGTGCTATTGTGAGTTCAAGCCCTACCTTTTCTCAGGACATCTGGCCAAGGAATGCATCAAAGCTGCTTGTTGCGCAAAAAGGGGAATTATAGTAGTGACTAGTCTCTGGTTGACAAGCATGGCAACCAACCAAAGCACAACAAACTTGTTTCTTAGGAATGCAACCAACCAACCAACCAATGAAGCTTCAGATTCTTCAAGAGTTGCGTCCCGTCTTAGCCCATGTGCCTTTCTGGCCCTGGAGCCTGGAAGCTTACCGCAAGCCTCAATCGAAGCTGTTGACAACACAGGCTGTCGAGGCATAGCTGCGAAAGAAACAAGTGACATTGCTTCGGAGTGTCCTACAGCGTGTCCTACATCACCTGAGTGACTTTCAGACATGAAATGTTGTATAAATGTATCCTGCTCTGACAATTCTGTGGTTATGAAGGGGTGTGCCCGGTACATTGGGCCCTTTTCGCTTAAGCCAAACGAGTCAGTTTGGTACACTTCTTGATTTGTGCACCCTTCGAACGAAACTGGCGAAGTGCAAATCACACTCCCCCTGGCTTTTGTAAAGCCATCTGCTTGATGCCTTGGGTAGGTTTTTTCTTCTACCCTTGGTCATCTTCAACCATCTCAAAGCCTCCCTCAGACTCCGTGGAGTCCTCTCGAACGCTTGAGGTTCCGGAAAAACCGCGTTGCGGCTCCCAAGGGTCATTTGACCGGGGCCTCACTGGCATCTGCGTGGCGATGCCCAACCAGGTCGGCGTTTCCTGCTCCGGATCCCCTGCAGGTGGTAGGTCATGATCAGGACCTCGATAGCTTTCTCTGCGCGGCGGAGCTAAGTTGTTTTGCGCAACTCTCCAACCCCAAGCCGTCATCTGTTCCAATGAAGGTGGATCTTCACTTGCCAATGATCTCCTCCAGTCAGGTCGCTCTGCATCGCTCGCCTCACTTGCCAATGATCTCCTCCAGTCAGGTCGCTCTGCATCGCCCGCCAGGTCCTGCATGAAGGCCAACCAATCATCCCGTTCATCATCGCTTAGAGTGGCTTAGAGTGGTGCCGTCATGCGCACCTGGTCCCCGTGCCCAATAGGTGGTTGGGTCATAATCCAAACCATCGTTCACAAAGGATAGCTCTCGCGATTCCCCGGACGCCACAGAACCACCATCTCGCCTCGATGCAGGTGGCCACGAAGCCGCTGCTCATAGCCTCCCAAGCTGCTGGTCACACCCTCCGTCATCCTAGTGCTTCGATCCGATACTGAGCCAAGTGAATCTGATTCCGGTCCTCTGTGAACATATCGGACTTCCCTGAGTGGCTCATCCGAAGGCGGGCCATGCTCCGCAAAGCCCGGCATTGGCGGTGGTCCGGATGTCAACGAGCTACTCATCGACGAAGAGGCGCGATCCCCTTGGCCCCTGGTAGTAGACGAACTGCTGGCCCGGGATGTGGATCACCTTCCATGCACCCCATTTGACCCTTTCTCGCAATGCATGAGCCCTGAGGCGAAGATGACGAGTCCTCCATGGACCATCCGGCCCCAAACGCCCTCCAACACATTCGTCGGTGCCGCCAAAGAGTCTCCCATCGTCATGGCCTCCGTGCCTCTGCGCTTGACAACGTACAGAACGCCTGTCGTCGCGACTCCCACTGCACTGGTTCTCCTCCATAAGTGCCAATCACGCCCTGACACCCTCGTCCAGAAGGAGGTCCGAACGATGCGTCCAAAAGGGCATCCACCCTCATAGTGGGTAGTAATGTTCCCCCATTATCGATGATCGCGCACGTCCATAGTGCAGTGACCATGCCAAGGTGGTCTTCACATACCCAAGCATCTGGCATCCATACTCTCTTACTCTCTGTCCCTTCTAGGGGTTCGGGTCACCTGTCGTCCCATCCAGCCCACTCCATAAGCCAAATCCGGTCTGCTTCGCACAGACACCTCGCCCACTAAGCCCTGCGCCTTCCTCACCTGATCCAACGTGATCTCGGTCTCCGGCTCCTCCTTTGGCACTCCAGGAAATGGTACAGTGGTCGGGGTAACCTCCGGATGTCTACTGAGCAGCTCTGGATGTAGGCCTGCTGTCCCACGTAGAGCCCACTATCCTCTTCTGCGGAACTCCACCTCAGCTCGAACCCACTGAACTTGGTCCATCCATCACTGCTGACCCATTGGGCTGCACTTCCACTCCATCTCAATCCGGCCCAAAGCACCCTTTACCGTGTCCTTGGCCCCAACGACAATGAAGTCATCCACATAGACTCCAGAATGAAACCCTTTGGCGGCGGTTCCTCCTGGTCCAACGGCTTCTTCTCGATGATCTTCCACAAATTCGGCTCAGGGGTCTCTCGAAGCTCCAAGGTCACTCCGTCCTGCTGCCATAGAAAGGTCCTCAACATCTTATTTCTGAACGAAGCCCAATCGGCTGGCGAAGACCGAAGCCCGTACAACGCATGCTGCACCCTCCTCTGCTCTCGAGGACCAACAATGCCTGCTTCCCCCAAAATCTTTGGAGGTTTCACCACAACCAACTTCCGATCGGAGTCCTCCCGGGGCGCCAAAAGGAAGGCCGTCTTGACATCGCAGGTTGCAATTTCCCAGCTCATTGCCAAGGCTTTCCGAAGAAGGCATCTGATGGTAGCGCCGTCCGCGCCCCCAGCGTACAAGTTGTGTGGCTCCTCCTTGCTCTGCTGGGCGGCACCACTACCGTCCAGAGCTTCGAGCCTGTTCCCACACACCACGATTCTGGCCCGCTTTTTCCCATGGGGAGCCTTGATGGTCGGCACTAGCATTCCAGGCGCAGCTTCCAACATCAACAGAGGATCCTTCTCCAGCTCCTCCATGGTCGTCGGACTCAAAGCCTTGGTTCCCTCGATCAAGGACTGATACTCAGCAGTCATCGGCGGCACCCAGGCAGCTAGCTCTTGCCGAACTCGTTGGAGAGGAACTGTGCATGGGTCTGCAACACCGCCGGCGGTGGGGCTCCCGGTTCCTGGGTCTCAATCCCAGCCTCATTCTTCACCGCTGCCAACCGCACCTGCTCCAGCTTGCGATGCTGGTCCTCCAAGTGATCCTCCTCCTGCAGGTAATCCCTCAAAGGGCCACTGACCTCCAGCTCCACGCCCTCAGTTTCTCCTTCACGATCTCCCCCTTCAATTGGCTCCATAGGTTGATCAAAGGCTTCACCCAGGTCATTCACATTTTCTTCAGGTTGCCACACCGAGAGCGAATTCATGGAGTGGGTACCCCTGCATCCAAAATTGGATCACCCGTTGGATCTGTCTATCCTTCAAGTCCACCTCGTGCAAGTCCAGCACGGCCTCAAGCGTTTTCGATGGCGTGACCACAGTTCGTAGATGTTGGATCCGGTTCTGCTTGTCCTTAGCCCTTAGCCACCCAACCCGCCGACATCAGAGGGCTTGGTCCCAGCACCTGGACCCTCTTGAAGGGGGTTGTCAACTGCCCCGTCTGGCGATGCCATCTCTTGGATTTGGCCATGACCATCGGCCCAAAGTTGACCATGGGCTTCGAGCCCACCCCCAGCCTCTGAAGTTGTAGCCGAAGTCGTTGTGTTGCCGCGTGCCTCAAGGCACATGGCCATAGCGAAGCTTCCACCTTGAAGCAACCTCATCCTTCTTTTGAGCTGTAGAAGCTCTGCCTCTACCCTGCCATTTGACTGGCCGTCATCTCCTGAGGTCATAGTGTGAACCATCTCCCGAGCTTGGACCCACCGCGCCACAGCCCTCGTGAGGAAGGACTTCTCCCGGTCTGAGTGCAACCGACATGGCCGCACCCCCAACATCCTGTAGTGAGCGTGGACCTTGGACAGCGCCTCCACAATGTCCTCCACCGTTCGAGACTGCATCGGCTCTGCAATCGTGAGGTTCTGAAGAGGCGTGTCCTCTTGAGCTCGCTCCAATGCGGCCTTCATGTTCAGCTCAGCCACCTGCTCCTCTGAAGCCATCTCCACCTCTTCTTTCTCCTCCTCAATGTCCACCACATCCTTGACCTCCGCCTCATGATCCAGTGGTTCTTCCGGGGCTCCAGCAAGATCCTTCATGATCGGCACCGCACCACCATCCTTTCCTTATGATGTAAAATAGCTAGATAAGACAAGGGGATCTATAACTTAAAAATAAAAATAAAAAAAAGTCCAAACTCACTTCAAAAGTCCAACCAAAACTCACCTCTCACCAGGCAAGTCCAAGCAACACTCAAAAGTTCAAGGCAAAGTCCAAGCAAAACTCACAGGTTCAAAGGAAAGCTCAAGCGAAACTCAAGGAGCTAGGGAAACCAGGGAAGCGCCCGCTCAGCG